CGTGTAGGAGAGCGTCTTGCGACGAAGCGTTATGTTAAAGAAAATGTCGATATAGGGCTCGTGACAGCAGGGATAATACTTTTCGTGACGTTCGGCTGGTACCCCTAGGATGTCCCACTCAACGCTTGGATAGTACTCGCGTAGATCAATGCCAATCTCCACTTGGTCGTCACCCACGTTTTGATTGATATGCTTAAGATCGATCTGCAACACGTGTAACGTTAAATCGTAGTGCCGTTGTAGTGCCGTTACACTGTTTTTCGGGCCACAGGTCGTTTATATAGGGTGTCGTGTTATGAATACGCCGTACCTGAAATCCATCGTAGGTCCACGATCCAAATTTCATGAAGCAGGTCTGTTGATCAAAGGGGAAATAACGCACGTCGATCTCACAAGACGACTTGAAGATGGCCGGCGGTGTCCAGAGTACTTTTCCCGTATAGTGAAGGATCGCCTTGGTCATGGTTGTCACCCCGTACTCGCCGTCCGCACTATGTCATACAAATATTATGTACGAGCTCGATCACGCCAATAGCGATTGATCGTGCATAATTGGTTGTTTAATGATACAAACTTGTTGTACAGCACGATATCGGGTAACCAAATGTGTTCGCTCGGCACGTATAGTTCCGTCACACCTCCGTACTCGGACGGGTCCCACCTGAATTTGTGGTCCTGCCATTCCTATAATATTTCAGCATTAGGGACATTAGCGATTAGTAATACACTGGAGGTAGATCATGGTTAACATAGCGAAAAAGACTCACGTGCTCGAGCCAGACGTTCGTCGTAAGAATCTGGTCCTTGAGATTCTGCAAGCGCGAATAACTAGTAAAGGGGAAATAGTCGAAGCGCCGTAGGGATGTTGCAAAATTACAAATTACAAATAAGTACGAGGAGGAGGAGGAGGAGGAGGAGGAGGAGGAGGAGGAGAAAATCGTTGTCGCGAGAGGGGGTGAGAGAGGATGGGGTTGAATTAGTTAAAAAAAAAAAAAAAACACGACGACGCGGCGTCCGTATAAACTTACCAAGTCGATGAGCTGAGAGAGCCGCAGACCGAGTTTCACGACAACCGTGTCGTTATTGCTGGATACGGGCCGTATAAGCCGGTTATAGTTGGAGAGGAGGTCGTCGTAGAGCCTCTTGGCGTCCGGGTTGCCGTAGCAGACGCCCAGTGCGAGTAGGCCGAGGGTGAGCCGCGCGATCATGTTTGGGAGCCTCGGTTGCGGGATAATGGGGCGGTCAGTCTCAGCCGGGACGGCTGGTATCGGAGGCAGAGTCGCGAGCATTGGCCATCGTCCGGTTCGCTCGGGCACGCGGCCACTGGAGCACTGAGCCACCGCCTGGAACTTGCTGCCAGCATCCGCGGCCTAGCGGCATCTCGCTTCCATCCCTTCGTCCCGAGGCAGAGGAGGGATCGATAGGGCGAGTGCGCTTGCGCAAAAAAGCGAGTCTCGCCTCCTCGCGGTGTTAGCTCCGACATTTTCATTCCGAGGCTTAGCCCACCAATCCATACGTCGTCCCATCCACCCGCAACGCAGTTATCCATTACGAACGCTAGCCCGCTCGCCCGCTCGCCCGCTATCTCTCTCTCTCTCTCTCTCTCTCTCTCTCTCTCTCGGCCGTTCTCTCGGCCGTTCTCTCTCGCCCGGAGAAGCGCTTTCCGTCGTTCGGCTCTTTCTGCTCGTCGATTGGAAATCGTCTACTCGACTTGGCTAACGAGAGCTTTATCCTTATCACCGGGCTTTTAAGCGGGCTCCCCGAATTTTCTAATCCAGCCAACGAATCGCTGGCATCCCAGCCGCGTGCCTTTCTCCACGCTTTCACCCCCCCCCCTCATCGCCCTCTCCACCGCCCGCTCCCGCAAACATCCATCCGATGTACGGCGCGTTTTAAAAAGATCGATCCTCGACGGCGCACTCGAGCACGCACGGCCTCGTCGCGAAATAGCCTGATTTCTTTCGATCGTGCTCCCGTCCCTCTCCCGGACTATTGAGTAACCTAGGTCGATGGCAGGTCGATTCTTCCCACGCCTATTCCGGACGATGTAAGAGTACATACGCTTACGTGTACGCGTTTGGATTAGCGCGCGACAAGAGCGAGGAGCGCTCTTATGTGTAAGAGGGCAATTAACGTTGTGGGAGTGCGAGGTCCCCCATCCCGCTGGGAGCATCGCTTGAGCTCGTGGAAAACTTGAGGGCGTAGATAAGCCAAAATCCCATTATGGCTCTCTCCTAGACTCCCAAGCCTTTAAATAGTTTTGTCGAGAAATCCGCGCCGTAGTTCTATGCTCCCGTCGTTGTGCCTCTCGGAGGTTAATGCGGGCTTCTAGCCGCACGGTTCTAAATGAGTGTTCGTCCCTCCGTAAATTATCGTTTAACCCCGTCGGTGCGACCTCCCTTCGTAGGTAGTCGTGTGTAACTTGGTACGTCTACTCGCTATAGCGTCTCACGCTTCACGTTTTCAAAAAAAGCATTCTTCATGCTTTCGGAACATTTTTTTCCCCCTTCGATAGATTTAGTGCTCTGGTTCTTTACCGTTTTACGCTACTTCGCCATCCAGTGCACAGGCTTTCATTTACTCAGCCGTTATCTCTCATAATTAACAGCCGTACTAATCGCTTATATTGACAAGCTTTAGCTCACTCTTACACTTAGAGCATAAATTTACGCTTTCTCTCTCTCTCTCTCTCTCTCTCTCTCTCTCTCTCGTTCTCGTTCTCTTTTTCTCCTTCCTTCCTTCTATTCCAATAACAACAACGACGACAACGACAACGACGGCAGCAGCAATAACAATAATAATATCGAAGCTTAATTTATTAAATACAAAATTCAGATACGATATATGTTGCATATTAGTTTCAGCTGCAAAATGAAGATAGCTATTTCTAGTCGAAACTCGTACTTGTTCTTAATCTATTTATATCACTATAGTACCTTTGTATTATCAAAAGAGCGTTATTTTAAATTTAATGTAAATTTTATCGTTAAAAAAGAGTTACGAAAAAAAAAAAAGAAAAAAAAAGTTAAATAAAGTACATTTCGCGAATTTCGATTTTTTTTTATCTTCGTTTTTTATATATGCAATTTCATACGCTGATTAAAGATTTAATGGCTATGTAAAATAAATATACAAATATATGAAAAACTATATCATTAATATGAGTGACGCAGGTCATAATGCGACGCAAAATGCTTACAAGAATTATTAAGTAAAACAAAAGATTGATGAAAGAATTAAAAATTGTGTCTATTCATGGAATATTGAGAGAGCTTTGTTTTTTAAAGGCTTTGAAAATAATTAATTATTGTGAAATTACGTAAACTCAAGAAGGTAAGGTAAAAATAATTTTGAGGTAATATATGAAATTAGAATAGCTTATAAGACTAGTCGTATATGAATCATATTTTCATTAAAGGAAATATAGTTTACGCTAAGTCATACTTATTTAATTAATAGAAAATATATCTTTATTGTAATCCTATTGTAATTCAAATGAGTTCGATAGTCAGGACGTTATATTATACGCGCGCGCGCGCGCGCCTAGATACAAATTATCAAAAATTTGGCCATTAAAATTGTCAATACGGTAGAATAATAATTTTTTTTTATTTAGAAAACTCGTAATTGATGACATTCAATACTAAATATATATCGAACGTTCGATCAAACTATAATAAATATCGGATAAATATGGGATTCAAAAGATCGTAAATATATTTGATAAGTTATGAGTTACAAAATTAATATATAACAAAAATGATGGGATTCGTATATAAAATATATAATTCACGAATAAAATATATTTTGTTCATATTGAAATTTTAGATCTTAATGACGATTTTAAGATAAATGTATAAATAAATTTACGGTGCTTTTCGAGTCAATCAAGATAATTTTGAATACATAAGTTATAATATATGAAACAAAATCATAATTAGTTAAAGAAAAACTCACTAAAATTATTTATCGTTTTCGTTAAAAAATAGATAGATGGAGTGTAATATTTTATAAATAATAATATTAATAAATTGGAAAAATAAAGAGAAATATCAAAATTGATAAATCTATAGTAATTGTAGAAATTCTGACTATAAAAGGAATATAATGATTAATATAGATGTTATTTCCGTTAGAAGAAGGGCTCGTAAATTTATAATGCTAAACGAACGATTTACATGATATAATAATTTTTACGGGGCTTGGTCAAACTTTTTAAATGACATTCGTCATGTGAGAAAAGCTCTAGCATTTGGAAATAGACAATCAAAGATTAGCACTCGATGTAACGACGTTAATACAGATAGGCATAATAAACATTGGATGTAGCACGTATCTTGAAATAAGTATCGAGCAATAAAGTAAGTACTCGTTAAAGTGCCGTTTAGCCTTTGAGCGAAAAGTTGTTGTTTTTTATTCAGGTATCAGAATTTTCTCGTGACGAACGAATGCACAAGCCTTTCACGAATGTCGCAAGAATTCCGTCTCGTCTGACATATCGCGTAGTGTAACTACTTGAAAGGTCTGGTGAGAACACATGCCACACGGCAAGGCGTCAATCTCTCATTCCACATTTAGCATATTTTTGCACGATGCTTCGAATTACCGTGTATTCTGATATATATATATATATACATATATATACATAGAGAGAGAGAGAGAGAGAGAGAGAGAGAGAGAGAGAGAGAGAGAAAGAATAACGGAGACAGAGCATAGGATACGCACAGAGCAGTTAGTTTTCTTTGGCAAGTCGGATATTTTAAAGAAAGGATGCCCTTTCTCGTCGTCGTCCCACCCTCCACCCCTCTCCCTCATTGAAAAGAGACATAAAATTTCGGTTGGGCCTCTGCTAAGTTTCGAGATAGACGCCGGACAAAAAACTGGATTTATTATAGAGGGTGGCGGTGGCGGTGTCGGTGGTGGTGTCGGCGGCGGCGGCGGCGGCGGCGGCGGCGACGGCGGCGGCGGCGGTGGCAGTGGCGGTGGCAGTGGCGGTGGCAGTGGCGGCTTCGGTGGCATCGTTCGTAAGGGAGTGGCGGGCGGGCGACATCAGCTGGCTGCTCGGGCAGATTCGGGGAGATTCGGAAGCAGTCGGGCCGTGGCCGCGTCGGGCTTTCCACATGGCTTGGTATTGGCTCCCGGGGCGCAGGCTGGCAGCGGCTCCGTGCGCGCCGGGGTTGCGCTCCGTCGACGGCTCGCGCACCCGCTCGCAGAGGCGACACAACGCTCCCCGAGGTCCGAGCGCGAGAACCGCCGGAGGAGCCTTGCGACAGGTAGAGCGCGCGCGAGTGATAGTGGCAGTGGGCGGCGAAGGGGGGGAGCTGGTGCTCGGCTGCTCTCCTCCGAGGTGAGTGACTTGGGGTGCGACGTTATGTGCCGGCGTCGACGCGGGACGTAGGCCGGCTATGCGGACGGTGATGAGGCTGCTGCCGCGGGCCCGGGGCCCCATGACGGCGGCCCACCATCAGGCACACTAAGCGCCACCCTGGATACGCCCGAGCGCGCCCTGGGGCCCAACCGAGCAGACGAGGCCGCACCAGGGCCCCGGTAGCCGCCGCGTCGAGACTCGCCTACCCGATGTGCCCGGCCCGAGGAAGCGCAGCGTGAGTATTCCGCTCCTTTCCTCTCAACTCGTCTCTCTCTCTCTCTCTCTCTCTCTCTCACTCTCTCTCTCTCTCTCAATCTCTATGTCTCTCAATTACGGGGGGCTTTGGAGGTTAGAGGCTAGGCACGTGAAGTTGGGATCCTCGAGATTCCCCGGCGGACTCGGAAGTGATTCTCGCCGCGCCTTTGCGAACGTCCTCTTCCAAGGCCTTCGAGCTCAGTCCCGGGCGTTGACTTCTTGACCGTCGAGAGCGTCGGGCCTCTTTCGTCCCCAAAGCCGTCGTTTCGAAACTTTTGCTTGTTATCTGGTTTTTTTTTTTCTCGTTCAAACGACTGGGCAAACACATACAGTATGTGTTTGTAAGTGACGGCTAAGTATGTGTTTAAGTAAGTAAATGACGAGCTCGAGCGCAATTGTCTCGACACGTACGCTCGACTCAATTCTCACGAGCAGTTCGTCAGCTTTAAATGCTTGGATGCTTAGCGTAAAGTATTACGTACCTGTCAAGTAACGTGCGAATGCTCTTGTATTTTTGCCGATCTCTCCTCACGGATCTTAAATGTCAGAGTCTCAGTGTTAAGATCCAAGCACCGCTGAGTCATTGTCCCATTTTTCTATTACGCGACACTTCTTCAACCTTCGTGTAAAAACAATTTTTCCAACACGAACAATTGCTACTTTTCCTTAACGAAGCTACAACTTTTTGTGGATCGTCTTAGACGTTTGACTAACGAGCACTTGGACATTAATGCGTTAAATTTTGTTGAAACTTTCTTTATCAGCCAGTGAAAATAAA